TCCTCCTTCTCATAAAAACTACATTTCCACCACCAAAAGCCACTGGGCTTTTGTAAATGGCAGAATTGATGCTCTCTAGCATTTGTATTTCTCCAGAGATTTCTTTTACATTTTAGGGCCAGAAGGGATTATTACGACCTGTGGGGTAGTGGCTGAAGAAGCTCACCTGATTCCTCCCTCAAGCCCTGAAATCCTGGCTTAGCGACCACCCATCTGTGTGCAGAGAGCAGCCCAGCTATCATTAGAGAGCATCATGAGCTGGAGTGCTCAGTGCTGTTCCTGCAGCAGACCCATGCCTACATGCTGACCCCATACTAAATAATCCCTCTGGGCCCTCCGGTGCCAGGTGCTCCATGCTTGGGCCATCTCAGCACCGCCCGGCTGCAGCTCCCAGCCCTCTGATGATGACAGAGCCCTACCTACACCAGGGAAAAGCCTTCAGCATCACTCGTTTCTTTCCCTCTCAGCATCTGGAGCAATTGGAGAGATTTCCAGCTCTCAGCCAGCACGAACCCGGCCGACTGCTGCCATCTACGGCAGGATCGCTGCAGCAGGACTGCGTGCCAGTTCCGCATGTCCCTGCAGCCAAGGCACAGGGAGCACGGGAGCTACACAACCACGGGGGTTCCAGCTGTTCTTACCTCCTCACCTACGTTTTTCAGCCCAAACCCAAGTTTTTCTATTGGAAATTCGGCCCTTGTGTGCTAGCTGCTGTGTGCTGCTGGGTATGAGGCTGTGTCGTGGCGGCTACGTGAGCTGCTTCACCTACATGCCGCGGTGGGGGATGAGGAATTAAGCAGCCTCTAATTTTATCATCTGGGTTTAAGAAGTTAATTAAATACTGCAGATGCACTCTGTTAATCAGCTTTGCGATGGCAGAACAGTTTCAGCAGGAGCTGAGGAGATGCTGACCGTGCAAAATCCAATTTCTGTGAAACAGAGCCGAGGGGACATTGGGCTCTGCCCTGACCCTTCTGTTCTGAGCAGGCACACAGGGGGTGAATTTGAAATATAAAAGCATGTTGACTGCACATGAATTGAAATAAAGGGAATGAAGGGTTTTCCTGGTGGTGAAAACAAAGGGCCAGGAGGAGAACATGACCGGTGGCCTTGGGACAGCTCTTCATGGCACGGTGGCACCGCTGTCCCTGCACCAATGGCACACGACCGTGTGGTCAGAAATAAGCATTCCCAAAGAAGGGGGAAACTGCAGGTGGATAAGAGAAAGGAATGAACAGGACAACCAGCACAGGGGGCCCTGCCCCAGCTCCTTTCCTATTTTCAAAACATAAATAGCACCGCGTGCACTTTGCTTGGAGAGGTGATTTCAGCATCTGTTCTGGCTGCTGGAGCACCTTGTAGCAGTACAGTCCCGTGCTCAAACAGTTGTTAGGGAACGGGGTGGTTTGCTATTGCTTTCAAGCCAGTTACACAAAGAAAAGCAACATCTGCTCTGTGAATGGGCTCCCGAGGAGAATTTGGAAGGGAATTGGAAAGGGTTGAATCAGCAAGATTCTCTCTTGGGAGAACATGTATTTTTAGCCCCTCACATGCCCCATCCCTCCATATCCCTGCAGGCTGGTGAGATCTGGGGAGGATTTTTGGTTGTAAGGTAGAGCCAGGAGCCCCAGTAATAAGGCAGAGGTAAAATAGGAGAAGTTCCTAATGAGACCTCAGTAATGAGTGCCGGGCTGCTCACTTCCATCATGCAGGGAAGTGAGCCATAAATCAGGCCAGCGACTGCCGTGCGCTCTGCGAGGGCTCTCAGAGCAGTAGGAAAAAGTCATCCATCATCGGTAACAGGAGTAGGATCTGAGTTTCAATTACAGATTCTCAAGCTATGCATTTGCAATTGTTTGGAAACAAAGTCCTCTTTAATTCCTCACTCAGCACTGTGACTGGGCTGAGCAGATTGGGCTGAGGAGAAGCAGGAAGGAAAAAACAGGGTGGGATCCAAGAGCTGTATATTCCCTTATAGGGGGACACGAGCTCACATCCCGCCCTTCGGGTTTCACTGGTGGGTGGGATGAGGCTGTCCCAGTCCTCAGTGAGCCATCCTCCCCAGTCCCTATATGTCATGCAGGCTCGTGTTGAAATTAATCATTCTGGTAATTTACAAGGCAATTAAAGAAAGGGGCCATGTGTCTGATTATACAGCAAATAAGCCTTGGCAAATTATAGCCGTATTAAAGGTAGATCCAATTAGCCATAGTGATCATGGGGGAGAGCACCCACAGTGATGGCTCCTCCTTGCTCCCTGCTGTGACAGGTGCAGCTCGTTCCCCTCCCTCAGTGCACCTGCAGAGGTGGTGATGTAAGGAGATGGTACTTAAGCATGGTGGTTGGGTGCAGTGGGGTAAGTGGTGTCAGATGGCTGTGTCCAGCCCGTGTTGCCTTGCTGCAGGTGCTTCCAGCCCTGTCTGGGACCTGAGGAAGGGCTGACTCAGAATTAGGGCTTAGAAGGGACCTCTGGAGACCATCTAGTCCAATGTGGGGCTGTGTGCTGTGCCTGCTGTGAGATAAGAGGTGCTGTATGTTGGGGGTAAGCACTGATTTGTAGGTGCATAGCTGTTAATACACACATTGATACATCTGCCAGTAAATACTGTAACTGGTTGTGCTGAGGATGTGGTCTGTGGGGGGCTTCCAAAAACCTGGGATAACTATGAATTGAAAGGCTGTTCTGTTAACACTTTGCCCCCACTCTGGTGGATATCAAAGGCAGATCTGTGGCTTTAAAAGCACCCCTGAAGCTGTTCCTGGTTACACCTCTAAAATAAATACACACGTGCATGTTTAGCTGATGTGAGCGAGTGCTGCCAGCTTCCCAGAACAAAATGTCACCAAATGCCAGCAAGTTCCTGACCTTAATTCTAGCATACTTGCCTTCCTCCCTTCCTGAACTTTTTGCTTCCTTTCCAATCATTGCAATTTAGATGTTAATCAGTCTTATTAGGCAGAAAACGGGCTGCTCTCAGTGCTGCCCTGCTCAGCACTTCTCCCTGCTGCGCCGTGCAGGTGGCAGAGGGTCAGTGTGACCGCAGGGATGCTCCGTGCGAAGCGCAGACGCAGAGCTGAAGGCTGGGACTCGGGGTCGGTGCACGCTCTGGCGTTGCGTTTCGCAGCCGGGAGGTGGCAGGGCAGGGCCAGGAATCGCCATCCTAGCGAGCAGGTGCTGCCCGTGCCCGGGAGGGGACCCCGGTGCCCACGTAGGGACCCCGAGCAGCCCGCAGCGCTCTGTCCCGGCCAACCCCAAGCTCTTGAGCTCGTTCAAGCAACCCTATTTATTTGAATGGGGGATTCCTTCCCATCGTGCCGGTGGTGTGTTTGTGTCCCTGCCCTGTGTGACGCCAGCCTTCTGCCACCCTCCCGTGTGGCACTGGGGACCTTTGTCCCTGCCATCCATTGTGCAAGTGCGGGCAAAGTGCCCTGCCTCGGCGGGGCGGAAGCGGACAGGGCTGAAACAACAAGAGAACAACCGGTCACACCGCTTGTGTGTGTGGCTGTGGGGTGTAATTGCTGCTTTGGGAAGGGAGGAAATGGGCTCTGGGCGTGCAGGACAAATGCGGTGTGAAGGTTTGGAGCCCTCCATGCTCGTTGGGGGGATCTGGAGAGCCACTGAGTCTGGTGTGTTGGAGCAGGGCCTGGCTAAATGCTCCCAGTGTGGGCTGGTGGAGGGTCCAGGGTTGGACATTGTCTCTTCCAGGGAGCTTATGAGGAAAGTGGAGCTGAGTGAAATGTCACACATGTCTCTGCAGAGTGCTGCAGGTGGGGATTTGGGCTGCAGAAGAGCAGCTGTGTCACACGCTGTGGTTTGCTGGCACAGGAAGCCCAAAGGCTGAGAAGTGCATCCTCGGCTCTAGGCTTGCTCTGGGCATTGCTGCAGCAAACACAGCTGTGCTGGGCCTGCAGAAGGCTGGAATCCTCAGGAGGCCTCTCAAGTGACTGCGTGATTCCCAGCACCTGGGACTGCAGTGCTCTTCCTGAGAGGTGGAACAATAACTACAGCCAGAGCCCAGAGCAGCAAAGGCTGTAGCACAGTCCCAGCCTCAGCACTATCCACCCACACTGCTTTCTGCTTGCCCCAGACTCAAGCCTTAGCACCCCAAGGCTGTGTGCCGTGGCAGGAGCAAGAGGTCAAAGTGCTGGAGGCACAGCAAGCGTTCCCACACACCTCATGGCACTGCTGAGCACAGGCAGCTCTTATCTCCCTGGTGCCTGGCCCTGCCTCTGGTTCCAGAAAGTCCGCTCCAATGGGAGGAAGCAAAACACTTTTTCAGATGTGGCTGAAACAGCGCAGCTCTAAACAAGGAAAGTTTCTCTGTGCTGATTTGCACTGAGAACAACCCCAGATCTGCTGTGCAAGGCTGGGTTGGGGACAGAGCCTCGTGCCTGATGGCTGAGGTTAGGGCCCCAGCTCATGTTCAGTGCCACGCAGGTAGGCTCCTGTGTGAGGGGAAAGCAGCACTGGGGTGTCTTCAGCAAGGTGGGGCTGATGTGTAGTGTTTGAGGGCCTTTATAGGGTTTGGTGTGGCCAGGCTGCAAAGCCTAAGACAAGATCGTAGCACTTCTAGTTACTTAGTTCCTACTTTTGGTATTTGCAAAGGGTAGGGCTCCACGTGGCCTCTAATCCCCAGGGCCGGAGCGTTCAGGGTAGCTCCAAGCACACCTTCATTGCAGGGCTCAGCTCCCAACCTGGGGAGCTCCCACTCCCTCCACCCTTATAAAAATCCCTGTGGTTGAGCCCTCCGCAGCGCTGGGGTGCAGAGCCCGGGCCGCGCACTAGATGTCAGCGGTGCCTCCGTCAGCTCCCCTTTCGGGTGCTTTTTTATTTTGATTCAATTATTTATTTTTTTGAAATCCTCCCGGCCCCTCCCTCCCCGGGGCAGTGGGGCTGCGCCGCGCTCCGCGCCCCCCGCTCCTCCCTTCCTCGGCGCTGCGCGGCGGCGCGATCCCGCCCCGGGGGCGGCCGGCGGTGCGGGGCGGAGGTTGCGCGGCGGCGGCGGCGGCGCCGGGCGCGCTGCGGGGCTGCCCGGCCACCGCGGGGCCGCCATGCCCGCCAAGTCCAAGTACAACCTGGTGGACGACCGGCACGACCTCCGCATCCCCCTGCACAACGAGGACGCCTTCCAGCACGGCATCTGCTTCGAGGCCAAGGTGGGTAGCGAGCGCGCGTCTCCCGGTGCTCCCCGTTCCCCGGCTCTCCCGTGATTTTCTTTTCTTTCTTCGCTTGCCTCTGGGAGCCCTTTCCCCCAGACTCGGCTTCCGAGAGTTGAGTGAGTCTTTCCGACCGTCCCAGAGAGGGTAGAAGCTGGCCGGGTGGGTCAGGCAGTCACCCTGCTCCTTCACCCTTCCGTAGCATCGCATAGAAGCATCAGCACTGGGGCACAGGTGAGGTCGGGAGCCCCTTACCCCGGCTCTCCCCAATACAGAGAACTTGGGGTGAACGGATGGAGGGACTGGCGTGCCATGTGCTGAGCTGTGGGAGACGACAGCGCTGGTCCCAAGCGAACACTTGCTGTTTCCCCTTGCAAATATAAATCATTCTCACCAGTGTGTTTGTCAGGAAGCTCTGGTGTTGTTTTTTTTCTGCTTGGACTTCTCAGGCTCGTACTGCATTGTGGTGTCCCACGGCTCTGGTGCTTGCAGCCCACAAGAGCTGAGCATTTGTCTGCCTTGCCCAGCCGTGGGCAGGTAGCTGGGGGGAGATAGCAATGGAATTTGGAAAGCAAAGACATTAAATTCCTGTCTCCATTGCTATTCATGGAGTTACAGTTGTCACATCAGTGAGCTATTCCAGTGAGTCTGGACTGGAAAAAAACCGGTCTAGAAGAGTTTCTGAGCAGCACCCGTCCCTTGTATCCCATTGCCCAGAGGTGCTGGCAGGGGACAGATCGCAGCCCTTGCATCCAGTTCTGCATGGTGCCTTGAGGACAACCCCATGTCCTGCTGCTGGGCATGGGGGCTGTGTGTTCTTTCTGCTTGCAGCTGGCAGGGTCTGCAGAGAGCAACACGGTGCAGTTGTCTATGGAGCAAACTTACAACCTGCATTGGAACTGCTCCTGGGAATGACAGGGTTTTTCATCCTTTTCTCCCGGGTTATTGCAGCTGGTTGCAGTGTTATTGCCAGCACCTGCTGCACAGCAGCTCCCTTTTCAATCGCTTTGGATGTTCTTGACTGTCCTGCCCCTTCCCTGTCTGGCTTAGGGTGGGAGCAGGGGCTTGGGGTGACAAGGAGGATGTGGCTTTATTGCCCCTGGTCTGCTCGCTGCTCATCTCTTCTCTGTGGGATTCTGGGCGGTGCATGTGAGTCTTTGTTAGCTCCTCTTTCTCTTATTTTGTATCCTGTGGCACACGTTCATGCCAAGCACGAGCTGCATGAAGCCCTGCTCTTGAATTTGTGTATTTCTCCAGCAGCTCCCGATGCCAGATGCAGAATGCAGATGGCTTAGGCAATTACTCCATCCTTTTATTAGATTGGTGGAGATTAATTAAATGCTTACACTCCTTTAGTTCCTTTTATCCCCATGAATCCCGGGCACCGAAACCCACACAGCTCTCATTGGAGAGAGGTACAGAGCACGCGTCCCACTGCTGGGTGGGGAAATGGGAGGCTCGGGTTTGGAGCAGAGTAACACCAAAAGAAGAAATCCATCCCTGCAAGCCCTTGGCAGGATTATGTGTTTTTGTGGGCTGGGGCAGCCCTGGGGGCTATGGGGCATTGTGAGCAGCCTGGCCTCTGTCTTCAGCTGCGCCTTGCTCCTCCTCCTCTTCTCCCTGGTACCCAGTGTTGGTCCCATGCCCACCACCTTTGTTCTTGTTGCAGTTGGGATGTCCAGGTTTGGCTCTTTCCAAGCATGGGGTGATGAGAACATGCATTGCTTCTGAGGATGCTGCCACTAGGGCTATTTGCAGCCACATAGTCTGGCATAGGGATGCTCTCCAAGCAGGGCACTCTCCAAGCTTTGCAGTAATCCATTTTCTGGAGATAAACCCAATAACTGGAGAATCCAATTCAATTCCATCTTCTTAGGGAGTAGTAATGTGGTTCACGCTTTTTGATCTGTTTTTGCTGGCCACCTTTCTTGGCACTGAAAGTCTCTGCATCTTTGAAGTGCCTTGATCAAGCTGGTGGGAATTGGAGGAGCTGGCTTCACTTTCTGCCCATTGTGGTCAGAACTGTTGGATTAAATCAAGAGCTGGGCCTCTTGGGTGTGCTGAAGCGCTTGGATGAAAGAGCTGCGAGCTGCAGCGTGTCGCAGGGGAGCTGGCATGAATCCCCACTTGTGCAATGGTTTCCTGTTTAAATAAATGGATATTTAAAGAATAAAGACACCTTCTGTCCATCTCTTCCCATCACGGCTCCTCCAGTTGAGGCCAGGCTGAAGGGCACATGAGCCTGCTTTTTTTACCCAAAGGGAAAACTGGGGGATGAAATCCAAGAGCAGCTCAGGTGTTGGAGAAAGAGATACCTGGGGTGCCCATGCAGAGCCACCAGGACGTGCCCTGCCAGCAGACCTGTGAACAGATAAACGCGGGTGGGTTGGAGGGTTGCTGTTGTTGTTGGCTGCAGGTTGGTTTGGGGGTTTGGGTGAGGTTTTTTTTTTTTTTTTTTAAATTTTATACTCCCCTTAGAGGATCTTGGCAACCATGCATTTTCTGTCATGTTTGTCAGTACTTTTCTCCACTTTCGTGCGTGGGAAACTGAGAATGAACCGAGCATCTGCCACTGTCTATGTTTGGAGACAGGACATGGAAGAGACTTTGCTCGGATCCAGTGTGTTCCTTCCTGCGGTTCCTGCCAGATCCAGCAGACTTGCCTGCCTGCTCCTCACAGGGCTGTGCCAGTGCCAGCAAATGTCAGAGTTTGAAGCAGGAGAGATGCAGGCACCTCCAACCTGGGCCATCCATCTCCGTGCCCTGCTGCACGCTGCCTCTGTAGGCATTTCTCCATCCCCTGCTTGGGCTTGTTGGCAGCCAGGCAGTGCTGGGAGTTGGAAGCAGGTTGCTTGAAGCTCATACCTCCAGGTGCCTGGGAGAGGTTTGGCAGCAGTGCTTGGGGGTGTTGGTGCTGGCAGCTCTTGAACACAGTGCGCTCAGCAAGGTCTGCTCACCAGGAGCAAAGCTGCAGCGCGGGATTGCTTGCTGCAGGCTATAAATAACCTTGCCGAGCACCACAGAAGTTCTCCTCTGCAGCAGTGGCATATTTTTGCCATACTTGTTAAGTCAGTTTGGAGGCTGCTCGCTGGAGCTCCCAGCAAAGCTCTCTGCCGGGACTTGGCAGAGTTGCAGAGAGGGGCCCTGGGGCGGCTCTGTGGCTGTGTAGCAGAACTCGGAGCACAGTGTGTGCACAAGGATGGAGCACAGGCAGTGGTTTTCCATCCTATTGGGAGTTTGTCCTTCCAGAGCCTGCCACTGCTTCCTCTTTGCCAGTGTATCACTGTGATAAAGGGGTTCCCAAACCTCACCTCTGGGTCTTTTTGAAGGAGAGAGTATAGTGTGTTCATCGCCCTCTGGCACAATGCTGTCCCACCAGCCCTGTCCCCAGTTGATGCGGACTGACAGGCTGCAGACTCCTGGGCATATGACTGGCCAGGGCCGGGAAGAGGAGGCTTTTCCATTGAAGTCAGCTGGCACATCAACTTTTCCATTCATGCCAGCTCAGTTCTGCCGTGCTGGTTGTGAGCAAGCCTCTCCCCTCGCAGGGCAAAACAGGGGGTGAGATGTGTCCCCCTGGGCTGCTCTGGGAAAGCAGTTCCAGCAGGACCAGGGCTCCTGCAGACCCACGTACAGGCAGCAGTGATGAAATCACAGCCATGGGTTTCCCCATTGTGCTGCCCCATGCTTTGGGGTGTGCTTCCCCTCTCCTGCTCTGACCCCCCGGTGCAATCTCTGCCTTGACATTTTGCACCCGTGCTACAGTGTCTATGGCAGTGGCACAGTGCAGGGAGCAATGCAGATAAATGCTGTCCTGCTTTCTCATGGGAGCTAGCACAGTAGCTGGGGAACCCAGGCAGGATTTGGGACTGGTGCCGCCTCCAGCTCCCACACCAGCAGCTCTGCCCCTGCTGCTGGCTCCTTATCTCAGGGCAGCTCTCAGGGCTGGCGAGGCTCCAGGCGGCTGCTTTGGGCTTTCCCAGTGGGATGATTCAGCCCTGACCTTTGCACGATGCTGGGCTGCGGGGTGCTGACGTGCTTGCTCTTCATGAAGGCTTTCCTGGTCCCACGGACACCGCTTGGGAGGCATCCCTGTGTTTTCAGGCAGATCACCTTCTCAAGGGAATTTGCTTCTGAGGGGGCAGGATAGCGTTCAGCAACCTCAAAAAGAAAAAACACCAAGAAAACACAGAAGCTAAATAATTTGTGCAAACATTGAAAAATGTATTTCCCAGATTTCTCGTGTTTATTTTCCTCCTGCCTGGGGAGAGCTGGTATTTCTCTGAGCTGGCAAAGGCCTGTGGGCATGCTGCCTGTCCTCCCAGGGGATGGGAAGGCTGCACAGGGCGGCCCTGCTCCCAGCAGCAGCTCTGGATGTTCCCACACCTCTTCCTCAAGCAAAGCTCAGAGCTGCGGGTAGGAGGGCTGGGGTGCTGATAAGCACAGTGCTTTCTCACGCCATCCTCACTCCTTCGCTGGAAGGCTGACCTCCCCGGCTGCATTTTTTGGGAGATGCTCATCACACTGCTAGGTTTTGTCTGTTTCCAGAGTGAAGGAGAGGTGGACGGTTTCAGGGCTGTGAGCCATGTGCTGAGGTGCTGTGGGCTTGAGGTCTTTGCTGCCAGCAGCAGGGTGTGGGATGTGGGCAGGATGCTCTGGTTTTGAGCAAAGTGAACCCTGTGGGGTTGTTTGGTGGCCAAGAGGTCCCACTGATGCTCTCCAGGCTTGATATAAAAAAAGGGAAATACATTCATGGCAAAGATACCTCTCATAATAAAACATAAACCCTTGATTCTGGATGGGAAGAATCTGTTTAGGGGCTGTAATTGCTACTTTTGCAGTCAGGCTTTAGCTGCTGGGGTTTAGAAAGTGAGTGCTGCCTCTGCCTGTGGCTGCATCGTGGGGCTTAATTCCTGGTTGCATAAGGCTGTCCTGCACTGCCACGGCACATGATGAGCAAGCCAGCTGTTTGATGTTTATTTTTATATCCCCTCTCTTTGCGTGTCCTCATGGCATCAGCTGCCAGGTCCTGCACTGTCACCATCCTCCTGCCCATGGGATCCATGCGGGGCTGAGGCTCAGCACATGCTGGGGAGAGCTCGTTGTGCTCTGCACCCAGATGGTCTCTGTGCAGCAGTGGTAGGGGCAAAGCCTGCTGGCACTGGTTGGGGGCACTGAGGGTTTTGTACAGTTCACACTTCTTCATCTTGATTTATTAATGAGATTAACCTGGCTCTTTCTTGCAAGTGGGAATGCTATGAAAAATGAGACAAGAGGTATAGATCCTTGTTTCCCTTTCTATGGTAGAAAACTTGAGCTGTGCAGCATCCAACAGGCTTCTGAGCCATGTGCAGCGTACAAAGGACTGCCCCCATTTTAGTCATTCAAGCTATAATAGGGTTTTCCTATAAAAAAACCTCTTACTCTGTCAAACAGAAAGGATGCTCACATGAGGACCAGCTAAAGAAGCTAAAGGTGACACAGGAGGGGAAATGCGACTGCTGTCTGCAAGCCATGCCGCAGGGCAGGAACAGGCAGAAAGCAAGGCTGGGAAATTTAGGGCAACTGCTCTTTGTGAGGAGGGAGAGGGGTGGGAGGAGAGCTTGTTGCTTGCAGCACTTTGGGTATGGTGTGCAAAATGCTGGGCTGTGTGTAGGTGCAGCAGGGCAATGGGAGGCTGTGAGGTTCCGGAACTGTCAGTGACATGCAAACAGGGCTAACCCGCTGTTCCTCTCCATGCAGTACATAGGCAGCCTGGATGTGCCACGGCCAAACAGCAGGGTGGAGATTGTGACAGCCATGCGGCGGATCCGGGTGAGTGCTATGTGACTGAGCTCCTTCCTTCCTTCCTTCCCCTTGGAGTGAGGGTCACAGCCCTGCTTTTCCCACAACTGCAGTCTTCCCCTGCTCCCGCATTGAGATGAGTGCCTGGTGCAGGGTGCAGGATCGCTGGCACCAGTACAATCTGAGGGGTGCTGGTGTTGTTTCTGGTTCCAAAGCAGCAGCATATGGTTTGTAGGAGAGGTACATTTGTTTTCTCCTGCTGGCCTAAGAGCATTGCTGTGTGACGTTTTGGATGCTGGATGCAGGTCCGTGCCCTGTAAATGGCTATGTGCAAACGGAAGCTCTGAGTTCAAGTAACCAGCAGCACATGGGTGAGCTGCAGGCCAGCCAGCAGCAGGCTCACTTGGTGGCGAGCAGATCAGGGGATGTCAGCTGGCTCTGAAGTCATCAGGCTTCCCAAAATAGGGACAACCAGGATGCTGGGCTCTCCGGTCACATAATGCCTGGCCAGCAGCCACCGGAGCGGCTCTTCCTCTGCTCCCCTCCTGCAGAACGTGTGGCTGGGAAGCCTCCAGCCTCTCTCAGAGGGGTCTGGCATCGTGGCACAGTTTTTTAGTTTCAAAAATTTTGGTGTGTAAATAGCCTATGGACTTTTCCTGACAGCACTCCTGCATGCTGCCCTGCCTGCCCAGTGGCTGGGAGGTGTTTCGTTAGGTTTGCTCACCTTGGTTCTGAGCTGGGTTGAGGATGCGTTACACCATTGGGAACTCTGCAAGGCTCATGGGCAGCTGTTTTCTCTTTCTTCCTTCAAGTTCCCTGGGACCGCTGTTGTCCTGGGAAAAGGCACCTGGGATGCAGCTTCTGAAATCAGCAGCTCAGCCCCAAAGTTTCACAGCTCTACATCAGCGTGAGAGGACAGGCACAGCTTTGAGAACTTCAGTAACCCCCCCATGTTTAAGAACAAAACAAAGCATCCCTTGTTGACCTATGTGAACAAACTTAAGCATAGCCTAGATAATGTGTAGATGAAGCTCTGGATGGTGGAAGGGATGCAGATTAAGTTAAAGTAATGACTTCTTATGATGAATGATGTGTTTGAAACATGTACTGGAGCTGCCTTTGTGCAGCGTAACATGGGACAGATGCAAGTTGTCAGAAAGACATGAGCCAGAGGGACTGGTGCAGAAGTGCATGGGCACCCTGTGCTGCAGCGGGGGCCCTGGGGAGGACACCCTGGGAACCCCCACGTGCTGCCAGAGAACATGAGAGTACTGCTGGGGCTGGCTGGCCTGCAGCATCCTGGTGGGATGTCCCCCGACCTGGGGGGCACGCCGGATGCGCATAGCAGGCATTGCTGGCATTCCTGCTGCCTGTGTGCTCCCTGCTCCCCCGCAGAGGCAGCCGTGCACCGGAGCCAGATGCACGCACTCAGCTTGGCTCTGTCTGTTTTGTGGAGCTGGATCGAGAGGGGCTTTATATGGGGAACCTGTGCATTTCGTGAGACTGGGCAGCCCGATCTAGTGGGTCGCAACCCTGTCCGTGGCAGTGGGTTGGAACTGGGTGATCTTTGAGGTCCCTTCCAGCCCAAGAGATTCTACGATCTTTGGCCACATGTGCAGCAATAAATACAGGAGGCCAGGGTTTGTTTTCCTGGTGAGCAGCTGGGTTTATGTATGTGCTGCTGAGCTCTTTTTCCTCCTCATCTCCAAACAGGGTGTCCTGTGCACTCGAAGCAATCACAACACCGTCCTAACCACATAGGCTCAGAGTTGCAGAAAATTGGAGTTGAAAATAGCCAAACAAGCTACAAACACACTTCTTTTTCCTTTTCTTTTTCCCAGGATGGTTGAGCACAACCAGAACTGTATGGGTTTTTAATGCAGCCATGATGTAAGCATACACAAATGCCTTCTGCCTGGTGCTCCTAGCGTGTTTCCAGTGCAGCCATGTTACCTGGCACAGTCATTCCAGACAATTTGCACTCCTCTTCTTTGCTGCATGGGTTGCTGAATGTGGCTTTAATCCAGGTTTTCTCTGGTTCCAGAAAGGATGAAATCTTATATAGGCACTGTAAAAATTGCTTCTGCGGAGGTCTTCTGCAAGCCTGTTGCTGGGAAGTGTCCAGCAGGTTCAAAAAGTGGAGGCATTTCAGGCATTTTAAAGCCTAACTCCTCCAGACCTCCTGCTCTGCCAGGTACATCTGATTTTGTGTGATTTCTGCTTTGCATAGCTGAGCTTTATTTTAGCAAACTGGCAAAGTTTCTGAATTTCAACAAGCTTGCTGAAAGCAGAATTTTACATCCTTTGAAAGCTACAGGCACAGTTGGACTGGTGCGAAAATTGCTGTGTGTGGCCACTCATTTGCACAGAGCCCACAGTGTAATTTGCAGCTCATTTAATTAGCGTCTTTCTGAGATATACCTGTTAGCACCGCGGTGAGTTTCTAAGTGTTAGGCCACTCATCATGTCTTGCTTGACAAAAGGGAGGAAAGAATGCAAGCAGCACAAGCACTGCAGTCTGTGCGGTAACAGGGAGCGGTCTGGGGGGGGATGTGTGATGGGCTTGGGCTCAATGGGGGCTGGGAGAACAGCACAGCACTGGGAGCAGGGTGAGCTATTAGAGCTAATAGCTTCCCATCAGTATCCCAGATGTAGAAGGTTGCATTCTATTAGACCTGGGAGGAACGGCTGGGATATCTGTAGCAATTGCCATTTATTGGATTAAAGAGGGTGAAGGTGAGCTTATTGATTTTCCCTGGCACCACTTATCTTCACACTGAAACAACCTCCCACTTACTTCAGACCCTGCCCCGGTGGTGGCATCACTGGGCACATGCTTGTGGAATGACTCGTGAGGATGTGATTGCATGTATTGGGTAAGGAGCAGCACCATGCCCTCTTGGTGAGACGTTGGTAAGGTGCTGGAGGACTTGCTGGAGGTGCTTCATTAGGCTGTCCCTCCCTACCTGCTTTGGCTGATCCTGTGTTGCTACTGATGTGCAGTCACTGAGGGGAAAGGCTGTGCTCCGTGTCACATAACATCCCTGGGTGCTCGCTGTGATGCAGAGGGGCCAGGCTCACTCTTACACACCTTCCCTGTGCATTGGAAAAGGTCCTAACGTTAGACTTCTTAGAACTGTCTCATTTTCTACATGAGATCATTCTGCCTTCTGCATCTTAGAGATTCTGAAACTGATGCAGGAGCACTGCAGAAAATAAGGTTGGGAGGGATGTGCCGAGGTGGGTTTGATTTGGGGCTGCAGCTTGTCCTGGCATCTCCCAGCAGGCACAGCGCAGAGCTGGGCTTGTCCCATTGCTCCAATCCCCAGGAGTTTCTATGACTCATAGCACCCATAGCATTGCTTTTGAGATTTACTTCTGGTTTCCTGCAGCATGGAATTTTCCTGTGGGTTTCGGAATAAACCAGAGCATTCAGCTTACTGCCACCGTGACAGCTTTGTGCCCCTGGGAGGGCGCTCGGTCTGGCTGCTCCCTTCTGCTGACTGCTGATGCCCACACAGCACGGAGCTGGGCAGAGCAGATGTGGGCAGCCCCCACCTCTGGGCAGGTGTCTGCATGGCAGAGATGCCTTACCTGGCTCCTGCTGTGCGAGTGAGGGCTCTGGGGAGAGAGAGGTTGGACAAAGCAGAGCAAAGAGTAAAAAAATCTCATGAGGAGGAGGTCAGGATCAAGCACTACGTTATAACTGTTTGACGGATGAGAAACTGTGGCTTAGGAAGAGGAAGGGATTTGTCAGGCTTATCCAAGCTAAAATCAATGTTTCAAATGCTGCTCTCGTGCATGATCCTTTCTGCTATTATGCTGCTCTGCTGGTCCTCAAAGGCCAAGAACTGCTCCGTTTAATCTGCTGGCACATTCCTGCTGTGTCACCTATGTAGTGCTGCACAGAGCTGCAGCCCTGCAGACACTTGCCCTGGGCAGTGCCAGGCAGCGCAGGGCTGTTGGACAAGCTGAACAAACTGAGTGTGGTTCAGCCCCTCTTACTTGAGTCTGGCAGCCTGATGCATGTTCTTTTTGCTTCCTTCTAACCTCTTTCCTAATGCTTCATCCAAGTGCGCTATATAACAGGTGATATTTCATCATTTATATCAGTAGGGATTCCCACAGCACTATGCTGTGAGATAATTTCACCTTTCTGTGTGGCTGCACATTCCCTTTTTCACACACCTAGGACCCTGTTGCCCTTATTGCAGCAGCAGCATGGCAGTGGAAGCTCAGCTCACTGTCCTTTCTGTTGGATGACACTTATGTCTGATAGCTATTTTTTTTTATAGATTTCTGCATCTTATGTATTCAGTTTCTGTTCCTTTTCCTTTGGGAAGCGGCTTGGACGTTGCCATATAAAATCAAGCTGAAATGAATAGACACCAAGTTCACTTGACCTGGATATCAAATAAGCTGTTTTCTTCCAGACCCACATAAAAATAAGCGTTGTGCTCTCACTGTTGTGGTGTTTACTGGATAACAGTGGCATTCTGTCAGTTTTCTGTCTATTGTTCTTTCACTTTGGAATCCAGTGGTTAGTGGATTGCACCCCTCGGGCTGGGCTGTACTGTTGTTTTAGATAACATTTGTCAAATTGCTTGCAGAGATGGAAATTGAAAGATACTCTTTAAATTTCTCAGCTAGCCTGATGCCTCTGTGTGGTACACCTCTAATTTTATTGGGGTAGCTTAGGATCTCATTTTGCATAGGACTATTATTGCTGTGTCGAGTTGTGCTGCCATCCTTTTGGTTGGCATTCATACTGACTGCATTCTAACAGCCCAAAAGCTTGAAACCTTTGTTAACTCAGAGTTTTTTCAAGGATCTGAGACTATAACTCTTTATAAAACTCTCTGAAGGACAGTATTCAGGCTTGCTGATTTTAAATGTAGAGTTTAGTGAATGGTTTTTAATACCTGCGTTAGTTATTGCTGAAAAGGAGCCAGGAAACAAACGTGTGATATGAATAACTGCCTTTTTTGTCCTGTTACAAACCAGAAACATTGTTGAGCACCGTTACCATT